CTGGAGCGCGCACTGGTGAGGAGTTTATGAACCCAACTGATCCTCCCTCTCACCAGGAAATCAGGCGGGAACTGCTGCCTAAAGCGTTATAAGTCACCCATCCCTGCTGGTCTACGTACTCTATTTAAAGATGGGGGACTCCGCCGGTTCGATAACTCATCGCTTCGTTCTCAGAAGTTTGGGCAAAAGAAGAGGTTCCATTATCCTGGAGTGATTTGATAGTCGTCTCCATCTTCAAAAAGGGCCTGCGCACTAATTGCTCCAATTACAAAAGCATAAGTTCGGTTCCCGTCGTTTGCAAGATTCTGGTGACCATCATTCTTCGCAGGTTATCCCCAACGTGTGAATCACTACAATGAGAAGAGCAGGCCGGATTCCGTCTTGGTCGTGGCTGCATCAATCAGATGTTCACACTCCGCCAGATCCTCAAGCTCCGTTACGTGTATAAAAAGCCAACGATTGTTGTGTTCCCGGATATCCGTGCTGCCTTCGGTTCTGTCGAGAGTGATGCATTGTGGCACTGTCTGTTAAATAATTGTATTCCTGGAAAGCTCTTTTCCATTCTAATGGCCCCGCATAGTCTGACCTCGGGTAGAGTTAGGGCTTATGGCAAGCTTTCGCCTTCCTTTCTTGTCACTAGTGGAGTACAACAAGGATGCCCCATATCTCCATTCCTCTTCAAGTTTGCCATTGAGGATGTCCCCAGAAGCGTTCTAGAGGACTTGTTGAACGATGGCGTTGAGCTCCCCTCAGATAGTCGGATAGTTGATTTCGATCAGGCTGATGATATCATCTTGCTGGGTGACGGTCCGCAGGTTGTCCAACTTGCACTTAACAACCTGGCGATTGAAGCTTCGAAGTATGGCATGCGCTTGTCATCATCCAAGTGCAAAGATCTTTATCACGACTGGTATACACCCCTACCTGTATTCACCATCAATAAGGAAACCTTAGAGGTGGTACAGAGTTTTTGTTACTTGGGAAGCTGCATAACTGCTGGTGCGGCTGTTGGAAACGAGCTTTCGATGCATGTCTATAGAGCTCGTCTCGCTTTCTCCAGGCTGAGGCTTTTCTGGAGCCGCCATGACATCCGTCTCTCCATCAACAGACTGTCCGCGTTGCACTGTGGTGCAGTTGCGAGACTTGGCCTGCTCGTATCGATGACGTACATCGACTGTCTGTTTTCAAGAACCTTTGCTTGCGGTGCTTCGCCCGTGTGTGGTGAATGAACCACGTAACCAACCCTGAAGTCAGACAGCGTGTTTTGGGTGGAGACAGCCACTCCCTCAAGGCGCTTGTCTCGCTGCGCCAACTACCATGGCTAGGACACGTACTGCGTATTACTGTTCAGCGTCTTCCGTGTCGTGCATTGTTCGTGGTCGCTGCAATGGGTTGGAGGAGGCGGCGTGGTGGAAAGTCTGCACTTCGAGAAGCAGGATGAAAAGCTGACAAAATAGCTGGCCACGGTTGGTTACCCCCGACTCCCTGCATGGGATAGCAAGGATGCTGAGTGCAGATGGTTGGAGGCCTTGGAAGGCATAGCTCGGAATCGAACTCAGTGGCAAGCATCTATCTCTATTTGTTGCGGCGATTCCCCTTCCCTCCTCTAATAAATATTAGCCAAAAACTCAAAATTGTGAGTGGAAAAAATGAACAAAAAACTGTTTCTGTGTTTTCTGCTTTTACTCTAACCCCGTTAATCCGCTATAGTCCCGATGGCACAGTATCTGTACACAGGTTGTAGTCAATATATATATATATATATATATATATATATATATCCTATGTTTTGAACGAACGCTCATGCATTCAATCGATAACCTGGCTGCGAATAGCGCCTCCGCTATGCCTTTCGAACTGAGTCACGTTTGGTTGGCACTGACTCTTTTCCGTTCTCTGCTAGTGCAATCCCAATACATATATGTGCACCCAGAGGCCCGGGTTATATCACAAGCTATGTATTCCACCATGTATTTGTGCATCGGATACCAGAAGGAGAAGTTTTGTTCTGCAGACAGAAAGGCTAGGTTCGCCCCTGCAAGTTGCAAAATGGACTTGACTACAAGCTTTGGGAAAATAGATAAACAAATAAGTTTCAATCACACTCTGTCGCTTGGACAGCTGGAGCCCGGTGTGTATCAAATAGTGTGCCAATTTCACTCCGGCAGGCAGTTCAACCAACAGCGTCGATTGATCGTGCGTGACGGGAAAACAAGGTTGGACTGTTCGGCGTTCGTTTCAAAGTTCACTGTCACATCGGAGAAGAGAGTAACTCCAACATGTTGTCTGCGCATAGCAGTGAGAACAGTTTGGGTCCAGTACATGCACCCGCGTGTTCGGTGGTGCTCCAATAGCCTAAAGTGTACAGTGGACCTACGAGAAGCGGTTATTGGTCAAGGGGTTATATACTTCCCGACCGACGTCTCCTTTGCAACATCTTCGGTGTTAGTGGAGTGTTACGGCGGCCGTTTCAAAGAGACATTGTTACTTCTGAGTAGGTCCACCTTTCTACTTTTATGGACACACAAAATTGTTTGAATTTTACCCCATCCTCTGAGTTCTTAAGTATATGTGTTACGTCTGGGGTGGTTGTCACGAGTTGGCTAGAGCAAGGGTTGCTGAGCTGTACTACCACACATGTTTAGTCGACGTAGAGCTTTGTACCCAACAGCCGTGGCAGAGTTAGCATGGGATAATGAGTGTGGGTTCAGTGGAATCCATCTGCATTTAGGTCACGGATATTGGGACTTAACGTACAACGACGAGATCTGCGGAAAATGCATTACCTCGCAGACAGGACAAAATACATGGTATGTGGTTGGCTGCATCCGGTTTCGGATTTGTCTGTCAATGTGGCCAGCCACAGGACGCCTGCGCCTACAGAGGGACCATGGATGGCTTACGCTGCACCACCCACAGCTCCAACCACATATCCCATATCCAGTGTAAACCCGAAGGAATAAGACCTGGAGGCATGTGGATGGGAACCCCTTTTCATCAACGGAGCCGGCCCACACTCCTTCACAGGTAAACACAAGCACACTGTATTTGGGGAATCAAGCGCACACAAGGCGGTGGCTGGACCGCAGTCCGCTCTACACTGAGTGCATGGAACCACTCTTTGAGCCTAGCACGACCACAAGGACTGTGCACCCCGTCCACTCCAGCAACGACCAACTGTCTCCTGGAGCCAGTATTGACGAGGTAGTGGGTAGTAGACAGGTAGGCACCTTGTCAACATGCACATCAAGCGCAGCCACACCTGGGATGTCAAACAACAGCCAATCATTCGAAATGCCGATATCGAATAAGGTAAACGCCTATGACAAAATAGATACTCGCTAAATGAGCATATAGAAGAAATTGGTTATAAGTGAATCCGTGATAAGTACAAAATGTCCGAAAGTTATTTCAAAAATACCACGCGATAAAATTACGCAAGTTCACCACAATTTGCGTGAGCGACGTGTGCAAGTAAGGAGAAGATTATCAAGTACGCAGAACAAACCAAATAACATGTAATGAACTTTATCCACATTAAAAAGACCTAGTTTAAGTGTAAGTTGGTTTAGCCCCACTGCGGTGGAGAAGGTAGGAACACGAACTGCGATTTAAAACGGGAAACGATTGTTTGGTTTTATACACGCCAATTTGAATTGTTTGTTTTATGAGCTTTTCGCGTGCATTAAACAGGGGATATAGTGACAGAACCACCTTGACGTCACTGATGTCTGTTGCGGGCCATGACATGCAATGTTCCCAACCACTGAGATTCAGCATCACGTGGTCACCAACCTGGAAGAGAAACTGATCCGACTAGTGCCAAACTTGAGGTTGACTTCTTCATGCTCTTTCTCCACGTCATTGGCTGTCTACCTCAGCACTTTTCCAATCGCTCCCTGGGAGTGCAAATAGCCATCGACGTTGAAGGTGATGGGCTGGCATGCGCAAAACTTGCCCGAGCCAACGCATGCGATGTCGGAGAATAACTTGAAGACGGGTACTATTCGCTCCAAGCACTCTCTCTCGCATTTCTGCGTTGCTTACGGAGTGTTGTTACCACACTCAAGCAATCTTTCGTAGACAGCGATTGTCGAAGTCTGACAACCGCTTTATATCCTCCGAGCGAATAGGCCAAGTCTCACAGCTGTACAAGACTACTGCACGGACGGAAGCATCGTACACCCTGCCCTTGAGCTTGCGACTGACCTCACGACGAAGTCATAGGTGTCTCAGTTTGATTAATGCAAGGCGGGCCTTCGCAATCCGTTGTGAGACTATATCTCTAACACTGCCACCAGCCGTGATGCAACTTCCTATATAAGTAAAGCAAGGGACTTGCTCCAGAACATGTCCAGCAATGGTAAGCGCGGGTTCTTGCACCTGTCAGTCCTGGAACAGTTGTACATATTCCCGGTTTGAAGCATAGGCCATACTTAGACGCCTCCATCGCTAATCGGTCCAAAGCGCTCTTGAGGGTTTGTAGGTCGCTCCCCCAGCAATGCTTATATATATATATATATATATATATATATATATATATATATATATATATATATATATCCCAACTATAGCGGTTATCGTCTGGTGTCCCAAGTTTACAATCTACTCTATTCTTGGACTTCATCTCGTGAGATATACCAAGACAGCCACGGCGTGAAACCGATTTCTTGAGTGATCCGATCCTAAATATGGATTTTGGCTTGATAACACTCTTCTGTGCGAAACCTTCATAGCTAAGTGCCTTTGATGTGGTTAGGTTATGGAGGCCATTGAGTGGATCTTTGGTACCAGCATCACCAAAGCTGGCACTAGACAAATCTCAACCGTGATACAGGCATCGTATCAGTATGCGGTCATTGTTGTCCGTTCTGTGAGAACTATGGTTTTTATTCAATGAACACACATTCTTCGTACTCAAGTCCCCGGCCTTGCCCGTTTGAATTTCAGTAAGGGTATTGCTACTACTATTACTACTATTACTGCTACTAATACCACTACTACTACTACTACTACTACTACTAGTAGTAGTAGTAGTAGTAGTAATGGTCGTAGTAGCACAGGCAACAGTCTATCAAATAAAACCAAATAAAACCATGAAGGCATTGAACGAAAACAGACTTAACAACATATCATAAATATGGCACAGTAAATGAAGCACTTCAGATATTGTGCCGCAATAAAAACTGAAGCATTTTTGTTATTTTTCACGCGCCATTTTTAAACTTTTGTTGGTTTCAAGCAGTAAGCATTAATAATCCAAATCTAAATAATAATGTGCACTGATTATCCACTGGTTTCGCTAACGAGACACATCCTGAATTGTTTCCAGCCATCGGTACTCCTGGTCTTTTGGTCCCCAACCAGACAGACATGGGGATCCAGTGGTTGCAAGACGTGAAGCCAACTATTTCTTATGCCGTGGTCAGGTGGTTGATGGACCACCGCGTGGTCGTTTCCAACTGAGTCCTGCACAAGCAAATAAAGTGCGATAGGACAGACGCTCAGCTGACATACGCAGGACGTGACCGAACCATTGCAACTGAGGCAACAAAATCAGCCAGTTGAAGCGAATACTCCCATAGCTCAAGACATGATGTCTAAGTTCATCGTTGCAGATATATTGTTGCCACCATACACGTGCAATCCTCCTCAATCACCCGTTGTCAAATAACGAGAGTCGGCACACGTCGTCTACACAAACTGTCCATGACTCGTTTCCATATAGCAACGAGGCCCAAACAGTGGCATTGTAAACATGACCGTTTAATATAAGCGAGACGTCCCGAAGACGCCACAAGTGCTTCAGGTTGCAAAACGATGACCGAGTTTTGTGTCTAAGCGGTCAAATGCTACCCCTAAGCCACCACGCCACGACGAGCAACGCTTGGCACAAAGGTCAAGGAATCACGTTGAAGTACACGTTGGATTGCAACGTGCAATCTCAATGTTGACCGCGATTCCCGTTGAAATGAACCTTGGTCTTTCGATCACGAGGACCGTACCTGCTGCAAATAGAAATTGGATCTAGCGCACCCGAAAACACTGATTTATTATGACTCGTTTCGATTGTTATTACATCTGATCAGATAGAATTAACTGGCATCGAACCCGGAAGCATCATCTACGGTTCTCGTGATCGAAAGACCAAAGTTCTCTTCAATGGGAATCGCGGTGAACATTGAGATTGTGCGTCGCCATCCATCGAAATGACCCACAACACCACTGGCAAACTTCGGTCGCGATTGGTGGGAACATAAGATGCTGCTGACAAGACAAATTTACAGTGTTTACTGGAGAAGCCAGATGTTGTGGATGCGTATCAAAGTACTCCGTTATCCCAACTAAGTAAACTGGCATGGAATACCGTGGAGGATCACCAGCAGCAAGTTAACCAGACGTCATCAACGTACGGTATACTTTTGCTTGAGCTATCCAATTTACAACCTCTGAAACTGGATCTTCACGAAGTTTACCAAAATATCTCGGATGGAGTTGAGTACAACGACATTCACGTAGCATACAGGATAAATTCTCGCGCTTTCCTGTAGAGAGACCATTAACCCTGTTATTCACATCATGGATCGGAGCTAAAAATGGCAGCTGCCCTTGGTAACCGCTGGAAGTATTCCGTCTGATTAGAAAAATGGGTAGAGATATAAGTCTGATCCATATAGCTTACGTGTCTCATTCTTCATCGTCTGATCAACTCCCGTAGAAGTCAGATACGTGAAAAAACAAACCGGTTTTGCTCAAAACCTAGAATTTGTTGACCATCGTTATTTTAGTTGTTTCAGAAGCACCAAGTATATCGGTAACAGATTTTCGTTTCGTTCTTCGACATTAAAGGCACAGTCGATTCGGTAGCTTGATGTACACTTTTGAAATGTTCGCTTAAAAATGTACACCCGAGAAATATGTAAATATAAGGGCGGCGTCGTAAGCGCATACTTTTATCTACTGGAGGAGGTTGGTAGTCTGTTACCGTTCTCATTAGACTCATCATTGTGAGACATGGATTTCGCCTTCGATTTTTCCCTTTTCAGCTGCTCTTTCAACTGCGTTCATTAGTTGGACACGACCTAAAGAGTGCAGTTGCATTCAGGTGATTAATTTCCAAACTTGGAATACGTTGACCAAGTTGCCCTTATCAGCGACAGCTCATGCGCATGCAAGCATTGCTTGACAAATTAGTAATGATTGCCAATCATTTCGGATCGTGCTTTCCTCCTTCACAATGCAACACTTTATTTCAAAAAATTCAAAAATAAATCGCCAGCTGTACGCCGTAACGGTGCGTTGCTCACACGCGACCACCACCAGTCGCGCGTGGGTTGTCTATACCTCGAGGACGCCCGCCGCTAGGCGTATCCGAACCGGTGATCTTATGGTTGCAAACCAGGCGCGCAGACCACTCGGACACGGGCACACAGGGACAAACCACTGTGTTGAACATCCGCTAGAAGTTATTCAACGGTATCAGCACATGTGCAA